AATTTTGGTGACTCTGAGGTTTTGAGGTTGGTGCGGCCACCAAAAAATGTTGATACTTTAGGAAATAAGTATATTATAATAATAAATAACAGTTTGACTAGGGTCCTCAGGGCGGTAATAGATGTAAAGCTTATAATTAGTAAAATGGATAAACTTCCCTCTCTTTGCTGTTGCAGTTTGCGAGAAACAGAAGGCTGACCTGGTCCTTCCTGATCGATCATCCGGCAGCATCAATGCTGCGGACTACGCCACCATGAAAAAGTTTCACGACAGAACTTTTGACCAGCTTCAAAGTCAGCAAGATTTAGTGCAGTAGGACTCGCCCAGTTCAGCAGCACATTTGAAAAACAGTTTCTACCTGAACCAGTTTATACACTGAGCAAGCGGTCCACTCAGCCATCCTGGGTATTGCGGCAGACCGGCGGAGGCACCAACATTGGACACGCCTGGATAGATCAAGGATTATTTTGAAGAGTCGCGGGGATAATGTAGCAGATTGGACGGGATCTCCCCAAGAATCTGGTGCTGATCACCAGACGGTGAATCGCAGGATGATGTGGAAGGATGCAGCCGACCGCTTCTCAAGGCTCTGGGGGTCGAGTTGTTTGCCATCGGCCAAAAAAAAAAAATTTTGGGATGATGTTCACGATCTGCAGCTCTGCAGATCACCGGCCACGAGAAAGCTGTTCACCGTGCAGAACTTTGGAGCGTTGGAAAAGATCAAGCAGAAGGTGGTTGACACAATCTGCAAATCCAAACCACACCAAGAAACGTCAGGTGAAGTTGACTTTACCCCCCCCCCCCCCCCCCCCCCCCCAAATCCTCTGCGTTTATTAATGTTTCCCTTTTTGCTCCAGACTGCGTCATTGGACATCGCCATGGGATTTGATATTTCTCAAAGAACCGGAGCTTCGGTGAGGTTGCTGATCAGCGGCCCACAGCAAACCCAGACCTGTCTGCCGGAGATCGTCGCATTATGTTTCCTCAACAATACAAGGCATGTGCTGCGTCGGCATCCGAGCCCCGTCCAGACCAAGATCGGCTTCCGACTTGGTGAATGAGGTTGGGAAGCACCCTGTTACGACTTAGCTTTGTAAGGCTACAGCGAAGACGTGGTGAAGAAAGTCATGTCCGTTGGAATCTGCGGGAGCCACTTACTTCAACACCGCACTGTGAAATCCTTCGAGGAGAAGTTTCAAGGGGTCAAACGCGGCGTCAAGGTGTAGTCGTACACAAAAAAATACTTTTATTATTTTAATTGTCTTGATAAATGGAAAATTGATTGCTGTCAATGCAAATGTAAAGTTACCCTGATATTGGACTGATGTTTGCGGCGTTTGGTTGTTGGGCTCTATGATCTTTCGAATCCCAAACGCAAGAATGTGTTGACTAAGAGGATCAAAGCGGTGTGGTTTCTCAACATTCATCGTTCAAAATCTCTTCTGACTTCTGGTCTGGTGCCACAATTTTTTATGTAAGCATGAAATTCAGTTCATTATTTTTTTTGAAGAGTCTGCGTTATTTCACAAAAGACCATTTTGGGGCGTTTTGCGGCCTCATGTAGTTTGAATTTGCACTTGGAAAGGGAGGGTGAAGTGTACGAGAGCTTGCAATCTAGCAATGATACATCTAAATCCCAAACACTGGTTTTAAAAAAGGCAAAATGGCTCGACAGCGCCCCCAAAAGCTCCCTGAAGCACATTCCATCCATATAAATTGGAATTAGAAGACATAGAAAAATTTGATCATTGGCATAAAGGGAACTTTATCTGAAATTCATTATACAACCCTGTATTTTAAATGACAATTAAGTGACCTTTAAGGTTTATATAAGCGATCTGAGTGAGAGGGTGAAATACAATTAAAGTTTTCCAGGATATTTAGTGATTTTAATAATTTTTTCCGGTGTGACTGGAAATCTAGTCTTTAAATTCCCAGATTGGAGGAAGGAAGTGTGGGAACTCAGTGGATAATTTGTATTGTCTTACATTGTTTTAGGTTTTTGGAAAAGGAAACGCAAACATAAACAAAAATGTAACTTTTAATTGCCCGTTAAAATCTGTATCCTTAATTACATTTGTGAATTTGATTATTTATTTTTTTATTTTGAAACTTAATTTTAAAAATGTTAATTCCAATATTTATTTATAATTGAAATTATGTACTGATAATTAAACTGACTCAAATTTTAACTATTTATTGATTGATTAATATTTCATTTTTAAATTATTTTCAAAATTCCTTTTATTGCCAATTAAAATATCAAATAATAAATTACTTTGTAATATACTGTATTTATAGATCAATAAATAATTCGTAAGCAAACATTTATTCATATTTATTGTACAATTAGTTATAAATTAATTAAACGCTTTATCACTATTTAACACTTCCATATTCTTGGTCTTCCATATAAATCATGAGTTTCGAAGCTTGATGAATTCTTGCCGTTTTGGCTTTGCTTGCTGTAGACTGTTATTGGCAAATTGAATTCTGCTGGTAAAAATATCAACATGACTGGATACTTGAAGGTTCGAATAAAACAATTTTTTTTTGTGGCTTTTTTTAACAAAAACTGAGTTCAGAAGCTTTATGTTGCTATGAATCATCCATATTTAGTGATTTTGAGCTCTTACCTGGCTTGGTGGTGTTGCAGAGGACCTGAGTAATATTCTTGTACAGAGTCTCCAGGGCGTCGAAATTGTCCACGTAGAAAACTTTGGACGAGTCGTGACCAGACATGATCTCCAGCTGCGTCTTGTTGGCTCCTTCCACTCCAATGCTGAAGATGCTGATCCCTTTGTCACGCAGCACCGAGGACGGCACGACCAGATTGTTACGGTCGGTGGCATCACCGTCTGTGATCACCATGAGAATCTGCGGCACCTGGAGCGCCGCCCGACCACCATGGTTCTCATTAAAGTACTCTAAAGAGTATGCCAAAGCCCGTCCGGTGTAGGTGTCTCCAAATGGGGACTTCAGCGCTGATATCGCATTCACTACTTCTTGTTTGGAGTTGTACGTATTGAGAGAAAAAATAGAGTTGGCATTAGTGGAGTAAAGAATGACCCCGAAGCGAGTCAGGTCCTTGCCGACCGTGGTTTGGTTCACCATTGACTGCATAAACTTCTGCATGCTTCTAAACTTGCTCAGGGTTATGCTCGTGGAGCCGTCCACCAGGAAGATAATGTCCGCTTTTTCTGTCTTCTTACAGTCTGGTTGGAAATAAAAGGACAAACAACAAATCAGAGGGATAGGTAGCAGGAAAACACCTCAACATTTATATGCTTGTTTGCCATCATACTCACCTTCAATAAAAATTGTTGTCTTATTTACTTAATCTTGCTAGCATAACGTTAGCTCCCTGGCTTGTAGCATTATTACATTAGCTCCCTAGCTCGTAGCACAGAAGTGAATGTTTCCATTGCATTAGAACCTTATGGGATGGTTATGATTCTTCCAGCCATTAGTCAAACTCTGTTACCAGAGAAATGGAGTTATGATTTTTTTTATTTATTTTAAATGCATGAAAATGAATGATCTTATTTTCTTTTCTTTGGCACAGATAATGCCCTTCAAGGAGATCAGGAACATCATAATGTCTAATTTTTTTTATGAATTCACTGATCCTTTATTTGACTTTTGATAAATCCATGTTGCAGAAGTAGCAGATGGACTTGTTATTGTGCATTTTTCTCTCAGTCCTAGCTTTCTGTCGGATTTATCTCGGATCTATAATATTCTGTAATCTATGGCTTATACAGCTGGTTACTTAAAAGAACCGCTCTTCTTGTCGTTAAGGTGCTCTCATTGGGCCAACCATCCCGTTAAAAAATGAACAAATCACCTACTAATAATAATATTGTCCAGCAATACTTTTGGGGTCACAACCCAATCTGCTCTTACCTCTCTCTGGATCACAGAGCTCCAAGGCCACCTGGCTTTCCAAGTCCTTCAGAGCATCAAAGTCCCTCTCTGTATAAACCTTGTCTGGGGAACCACTGATCTCCAGTAGCTGTGTGGTGTTGGCGTCCTTCACTCCGATGGCGTAGATCGTCACTCCCTTGGCACGAAGGGCAGCAGCGGGGTGTTTCACTTCGTCTTGGGCCTCGCCGTCTGTTATCACCATCAGCCTCTGCCTCAGGTTCGGACGCCCTCCGTTGCCAACATCAAAATACTGTGACACTTGTGTGATGGCTTTACCCGTGTCCGTGCCTCCACCGATCTGCAGCATGTTATCGATGGCATTCGACATTGCGTCCTTGCTGGAGTACTGGTTGAGATTGAACTCAAGTTGTTGGACGTCACTGAACTGCATGACGCCGACGTGCACCTCGTCCTTTCCGATGACGGACTTGCTGATGACAGATTTCATGAAGTCTTTCATTTTCTGGTATTCATTTGGATAGATGCTCCCGGAGCTGTCAATCAAGAAAAGGAGGTCGCCTGGTATGTCCTTGCAAGCTGTAGACACAGAGTAGCACAGAAATTATCTTAATACCTTGGATCCTTAGGTGCTATTTTCAGATTCAAAAAGGATCCAACTGAATCCTTTCAGTGGTACAAGGTTCAAGGTTTGTTCAGTGGCAACTCACACCAACCACATTGCAAGTGTTTCTGGTACCCGGCCTTACGGACCAGATAAAAGCACAACTTTTATAACTTTATTTACTGATTTTGGTGAAATGTTATCATATTTTATGGAGAAAATGTTTTCTGGTTTTCCCTCCCTGATGTCCTCCAGCTGCTCAGCTTTAACTCTCAGTGACTTATTGATGTATATATAGCCTTGGATACTTGTTGGTTAGAAGCTAACCTCCTATTTGGTGACTCTGCCCAGACTGGGAGCTCAGTGTCTGTGTTTAATTTCTAGTACGGGAGCTTTGGACTGACGGGAGCACCGGTGCCTCCTAGTGTGTTAGTAGCAGCTAGCGGTTAGCTAATAGCTACAAGTAAATGTCCATCAGGAAATTCAGTTAATCCCTGAGAGCTGAGGCAGAGAACATCA